TCGAATTAGAAATCTCTTTATTTAAAACGTACGTGTGCGCCAAGCTCTCCACCAACTTTTTATTTAGACTGACACTTCCTACTATCCTAATTCTCGTAATCGCAACCCCTTCATTTGGTAAGTGAAAATTAAAACAAAGTTATGTGTGTATGTGTGTGTATCCATAGGCGCACGCATGCGCATTTACATTTTCCAGAAAAAAGACAAGGATCGCATCGGAGTTTGAACGTAATTATGCTGAGAGCAGGAAATGGTAGTCATTATCCGTTTAGACGTGGAGTTTCGTACTTCGACACGACACAGTCAGTTTTAATTACCCCGTTAGGCATTTATCTATGATTGGTAGAGTCATTTTAATTAATGATATTAGGTCGTTTCCAAGACGGAACGAAAACTTTGGGCTGCAAGTTACCTTATCAGCAAAAGTTGTTTTAAAGGAAATAACTATAAAAATAAATTTTGCATCGCATTGTTTTAGTTTGATGATCAATCTCTGCAATGAGAAAATGGATCGTACGTTGCGTTAATTTATTGCAGTGACTTATAGCACAATAAAATGAGTCTCAAAATAACGAAGCTACTTTGGCTGAGTGTTATTGTCTTTAGTCTGCTTTAGTTGTGGATGTCTAAATATCATGGAGTTTTTATTTAAAAAGAGGACTATTGTAAATTTTGTATTGTGTATGCGTCTGCTAGTTTTCTGGTATATTTTCTAATCTGTATATATTTTTTATGTGAAATTTTCGAGGGATTCTAATACTTTTGTAATAGTTAGTATGTATTAAAAGTTAATAACATCGAATTTTTATCATTAATTTCATAGTCTTCTTGTTAGAGAATTAGAATTGTAAATATTACGATTAAATAAGTCTTACCTTGAATAACTTAGGTTTTATGTATGCAGTTCTTCCTTCTAAATCATAAATGCAGTTATTTATATTTTTGATGTAATTATTATTTATTTTTAATGTAATAAGCCCTTAATATATAAAAACTGAAAGCTATTCCTTATATGTAAACGCAGGACTTCTTTTTTTCCGAATATAATATATATCGAATTTTCCAATTTTAAGTGTAATATGCTATTGTTCAATATGAATATCGACACTTTTACTCCTGTTATCATCAAAACAGTGTGAAATATATTGAAAAAATTTACTGCCCTTGTAATATAAATAGCACTTGAGCGCTTTGTCCTGAGCAAATCGATTAATAGCAAATGGGCTGATTTCATTTATATTTTCGCAATTTTTCTTATGTATAACGTAAATGCGAGACATTTTCCCTTAAAAAGTCATCTACGAAGGGATTCCTTCCTTAGGTAAGGAACCTTTGTATGTTTTTGTTTAATCAATCAACCTAAACTAAGGTTTTACCGAGAATGAGACTGAATAAAAATGAATCGTCCTAGCTCTTAAGTTTTGAAAATATGATGATAAAAAATTATTTTTTGGTAACTAACCCATAAATGTTAATTTAATTCATTGGAGCAGTTATAATGAATGAAGTTAATTAAACATGATGCTGTTTGTGAAAACTGTAAATTGTTAGATCTGATATTTGTTGAATCTTGTTGAGTCTCTTACAAGTTGTTTGAATTGTACAATTATGTACGAACTTGAAATTTTAACTAGAATTATTCTGCCCCGTTCAGTATAATATATATATCCAATATAATGTGAATCGAGGTTGCATATATGAAAAATTTCTTCTAACATTTTTTGGATCTAAAGAAAATATAATTTTTGTTTAATAGAAATTCCTTCAATTTCTGATTTTTCAAGAATTAAACAGAGCCATTCAAGTCGTTCTAGAACAGGCTAAATTTTTTATTTGGCGACCTAAACAAACGTGAATAATTAAAATGATTTTCGCTTAATTTTAATGGTTTAATTTGGCTTATATAATTATGGCAAAGCTTTTGAAGGCTATCTAAGTGGAGGAATGCCTTCGTGGAGGACTTTCTAAGGGAAACTGGCTCGTATACACTTTTTTATAAGATCAATTATTATTTAACGTTAAATCATTACGTTAAATACCTCAGGAACGTTTAGAGGAACATACATTTTATCCCGACAGTGATGCATAATTCTAGAAACCTGGATGCAAGATTTTTAAAGAAGCAAATAACATTAAAAAATTAATAAATATGCGTTCAAATTTAAAATAATCTAATGACAAAAATTACCGGCTACATCATAAAAATGTGTATTAAAAATTTAATAAAAAATTGTCAGTTGAAACTAAAATATTTTTGATTGTATGTGTCAGTTGAAACTAAAATATGTTTGATGGTATATATGCACATATTTTATGTTAACAGATGATCAGTTTTATTTTGGGTTTAAAGACGCTGCATCCGATCATACCGTAATAAATTTCGTGCTTTCTTATGCAAATTTTATTGCATTAAAAAATAAGCAATTTTCACATTCGTATTCCCTGTTAGTACAGGAAGAGATAATTTAGGCAACGGCAAAGCAGTCGATGCTTATTTGCCTAGTATTCATTGCTAGGATTACTGAACTAAATTTCAAATTTCTGAATTGTAAAATCATTCTATTGTTTTAAAAAAAAAATACCGCTACATTTTCCTTTTAATGTAATGTCATTATACCAGTATAATGTAAGTAATATGTATTACTATTGTAATAGTCATTGTCATAGTAATAGTCATTGTCTATTATTAATGTGCTAAGCTATCACTTTTTAACGTGTAAAGCGCACGGAAGGCTAAATGAATACGCCTAACGAATAGCTAATTGCATAGTGAGAAATCGTATACATATGAATGTGTATGTAATGTATACGTATGAATGTGTATGTTATGTGTATGTCTAGCCTAACGACTAGCCTAACGAATAGCTAATTGCATAGTGAGAAATCGTATATATATGAATGTGTATGTAATGTATACGTATGAATGTGTATGTTATGTGTATGTAAATTAACCTTTTCCCCAATTTGTTTAATATTATACGTGCATATGCAGTGGCATGAAATTATTTTTTAAAGCATAAAAATTTTCAAAATAAAATTCATAATTCTACATGGATAATCAAGAGTATCCTAATTGTTCTTTAAATATATTTAATTTACTCAATATTCTGAAAAAACAATAAAAGACTAATTTTATATTCAGATATTCTCTCCTAAAACAAGAGCAGCTATTTTCTTTAGTGGAGGGATACCATTTGTGTTTCAGTGTAACAAATCGAAAACTTTTGTTTTAACTGAAGTTACCATTATTTCTTTTTTACTTTCTGTTTCATTGATTAATAACAATCTCATGTTTTGTACCTTCGCGATGTGTTGGCATAACCGAACTTGAAGCCACTTGCTTCAAATGTTTATGTATTTATGCTGGTTGTTTTATAATATCTATGATAATTACACGCTTAAGGGTTATTGCATTGGTAAATTCATGCGGGTCTTGAGAATTAATTGCATTACGACTGTTAGCCATTAATAATCTCGACTACTAAAATGTTTTTTCTCGTAATATTTGTCTCGTAAGACAAAATATTAAAGTCAGCACAATGTACACATTATCGTTTCCCACATTGTAGCGTAAGTTTATTCATCGGCAAAATTTCCATTAATACTATGTTTTACATTTATTTTATTTACGTAGTGCAGAAATTTAGCGTAGTGCAGAATCGTACGCGGTTTACGTTGTGTAGAAAGCGTATTTGTAATCGATGCAACAGTTGCTTTATTTGAATTGAAAGTGACCAGAAATGAGCAACCAGCTTTTTGAATAAAATTAATATATGCGATACCACGTAGCGAATTTATTGTCAAACATCTCTTGTTTTAATTAAGAATCATGTAGCTACCAAATTATGAGAAGCGGAGTTAAGTAAATATCTTTTTCGTCTTTTAAAACTCAACAAGTAGGATTCTAGTTTTTCTTCCTTCCCGTTAAAAACGCTGTACACTTCGAAGCAACATTTTTGTAGTTATTTAAGTTAGAACAGTAGGTTTTTAATTAAATACAGTTTTAAGGTTTGCAACAAATGTATTTAATTAAACGAATTCAAACTATAAATCGTTAAATTTCATTTCTTCTCCTCTCTTTTAAATTTAAATATTTGGAAAACATGGGCGAAAAGTTTTATTCGGTTTAAGGAGTTAATTTATAATTTATAGGTATTACTTTCGAATAGATTTCTGTAAAGTGGATCTTATTTTTGTTATTTTAAGTGGCATTCGTCAGTCGTATAGGTATTTTCTTGTTCATTTTAAAAGTAAAACAAGTCTTACTGTTTTTTCGCAGATGTTTGCAAAAGCAAGTTTTTTCTTACTAAATTACTAAATATAAACGAAGTGTCCCTCTTTTGCGCTTTAAATAAAATAAAACAATGCACTTTATGTTTTGTTTTTTTCCCACAAAAATAGACTTTTTCGGTTAATCTATTTAGGAAAACTGTATGTGCTAGCTTCGCATTTTTTGTGAGGAAAAAGATTGTTAAATTTTTGTCGAAAACTATCGAGAAAATCAGATAATTAAAAAAATAATGATTCTCGGCCGAACGGAGATTCATTTCATTATTTCCATTAAATTCTTGGTACGACTGATTATTAAAAAAATTGAAAACTGCAAGATGTATCTTTGGAATTTTATGAAATTTCAAATGAACTCAATTTTTGTTGGTTCAATGTTTACTGCTGTCATTCGCTGAAAATTGAATGTGAAACACGTGGTATTCTAATTTTTTTTTATTCTGTTAGGTATTCTAATTTATATCATAATATTTCTTATCATTAAACTGAAAATTTAGTTGATAAAAATATTATTTCGAGAAATAGCACATCATGTTTGAATTTTGTGAATATTTTGTGACGTGCGTTTTATTTCTTTAACATATAATGTTTCTAAATGTGTCCAGTAAGTTTTACATGTGTTTGAAACTTCATACTTACGTATGGTTTGTGCATAATATTTTTCCAGTAAACATAAAATTAGAACTACAATAAAGATTTGAAAAATATGATACTTCAAAAATAGAATTATCTCCTGCTTCCTATGATTATTTCATTCTCTGGAAATGCTGTGCTAGCAAAGATGACCTGGAAAAAAAAAAAAAAAAAAAAAGAATTAGTACATTAGAATTCTTTCCGTAATGAAATGAGTTCCACATTTGATAAATTTACATAGATAGATATGAATGTATATACAGTTTAAAGTATATGCAGTTTAAAGGTCAATAAAAATTATTTCTTAAGGAAATTACTGTTTTGTGGATTAAAATGTTTCTTGAGGAATATTTTCTTTCCTATTGGCAATTATGGTGAACACTGGCTTTAAAAAAGTGAGAAAATTAATTCCTTTGAAAGCATCTTAAATAAGCGTGCCTTTGTCAGCATTAATATTAGCTGTAGTAATTTATTACCCTTTATTAGCGACAAGACAGTAATAAATCAACAAAAACGCCTGCTTTTAATAAGCTGCACTGTCCTAAGTTTGGCACAAATAAAATTCCCCTTTTTAGGGCAGTAAATTGGTATATAAATTGAGTTAGACTTTATGACGTATATAATGAATAATCGGGAGGAATGAATTCTTTAAGAATTCTTCGTAATGAAATGGATCATTTTTCTCTAGTAAACAAAATTTTATTCGTTTTCTTTCATAAGACTAATCACAATCATAACTACATTTTTAATATTGTTGATTCTGTAATGAACATCAACAACGAGGAATTACAGCGCAAAATGAAGTTACATCATAATAAAAGAACTACTACATGTTCGAAATACTTGAAGATGATACATCTTGAAATGGTGATTATCCTGTTAAGTGATTTCATTTTGATATAAGATTTTAGACAAAGACAAAAGATCAAGGCAAAAGGCAAAATATAAAAAGAGACTAATTCGTGAATCTTAATATTGAAAGAACGCTCTCTCGGTTGAAAGAACAAACTGAGCATTTAATAGTTTCGTTCGTGTTAAATATGCATCGAAAATATTGGAGTTACTAATATATAGTTATTATTAATATCTGAAGAATTCAGTATGAATTCAATTTTCATTCAGTATTATTTTTATTATTAATCATCAGTATCAGTAGATTCCTTATATAATAGTTCACATATGTTTATATATTATGTATCTTTGCAACCTAGACTATAAACTCCGTTCTCTTTATTTAACTGGTATTTTTAACTCAACTGAGTTTAGAATTTGGTAACTTTTTCGCATGATTATTTCGATAGCTCTTTTGGTGTGATTCCCCCCCTTTTTTTTCTGTAGCTTGACTTTCTGGGAATTAATTTTAAAATAAGGAAGCATATTGCAGTTATTCAGTTTGAAATTATATCAGATATTAAAATGGATGAAAAAGTTGTGATTTAATAATTTTATTTTGATATTTTTAATTTTTTGAAATTTTTAAGTCTAAACTTTTCTTTGAAATAATAAAATATGTAATCTTAAGTTATCAAGTTGCCATTCTTCGCTCTCTTATTTCCCTTATGTTGTTGCTACTTTAGAATGGATATTTTATAAAGAGCTGGTGATGAAAATATTGTAAGGATATTTTATCATCAGCATAAATTTTGGTTTTTACTTCGCTGAGGGAATATTTAGGTTTTGAACTTTACAGTCTACTGACATCGACATAATAAACTGGGCTTTTTCTTTTATAAGCTGGGAAAGCTATTTTTCTTGTCATAGATGCGTTATTTCTATTCAAGACAAATAATAATAATAATAATTTTAATAAGAAATTTTCTGTGGTGGCCTTGCAGATACCGGAAAATGAATTTCGAAGTGCTTGTAATGTAGGCGCTACATATTTCCAAATTACGAAGTTTAAGAATTTTAAGTAATCAAGTTATACGCCGAAAAGTTAAGTAGTTAGGATTTTCCCATTCATGTATATATATATACAAAGATATCAATCTTACATTTTATTCTTTAGGCTGTACAGACTACGAATTTTTGACGTTTGCAAACGTCTTAAGGAGAGGCTTTCTAATTTTTTAGAACCATTATGTATGTTACTTGACGTTACGCTACCATGCCTGTTATCTTTGCTACCTAACGAATAGGCAGTTTCCAAAGTTTTTACCCGACACGGTGAAAACATAGGAAATATGATCTGTTAATTAAACTCCCTATAATTTATTAACAGACTGGGAAATTTAAAATCAATGTTTGCATTTCTTTTTATTATCTGGTATAATTTAGAATAATGTCATTGATAAGTTAGGTTAGGTTATTGGCAAAGTACACGAGGGCTATCTGCCTAGGCTTAGGGATGCCTTTGTGGAGGATTTCTCTAGGGACGAGTATTTAAACCAACTATGCAGCCAGCCCATTCACATAGGATCGAACCCAGGACGAACTCTTAGGATTCAGCGGTAGTAATCACTCAGCTGTTGGCGGGGCACAATCTGTTGATAGTTAGGAATAATCGCATTAATATTATAATTAATGAAAATGGTTTTTTTTTTTTTTTTTTTTTTTTTTTTTTTTTTTTTACTATGTTTTATGTTTATTTGTGCAAAATCGTGTAGTTTTTATATACGGAGTATTAATTCTCCAGTAAATGAAACAATACCAAAGATTGACGATGGATCGAAAATGCCGAAATGTTATGAGGAGGACCATGGGACTGAAAGCTCTGTAGAAGCATAATGATAAGCATTGAAGTGTATTGAATAAATTAGTATGAAACATATTCCCGTGTATTAAAAATTTTGACCAGTCTCAAGCAAAATGCTTAAAAACTGTACTGCGATAATATATTGTATATTCAAATATACAATATATTATCGCAATACAGTACACAGTATTATCGCAGTACAAACGTACTAAAAATTGCCAGATGCTTTCCAAAAAGGACATCGAAAATGCACAAACGTAGATAGAATCATTGCAGTGAAAGAGAGGAGAGGGCCCTTTTTATTTTAATTTTTTTAGAAAATATAAATAAATTTGATAATTTTTAAAATACTATGAAGTGCTTGCTAGTAGGAGCAACACGATTTAGGCAAGTTGCACTTTTATTTTTCGGTAGCGCATTTTAATGAAAAGTGTTTTTTATTAGCGTTATTAAAACATGGATAAGTAGCCTAAAACTCTGTGGGGAAATTATAATCAGAGCACCTACTGATGGTTTCTCCAGAAACGTAATGCAGGACTAAATGTTTGACACATGTAAAAAATTGAACTTAGACATTAACAACTGCACTAGATCAAAGCCGATGTGTTAGTTTTATTTGTTTTCCTAATTAACAAATATATCAAAATTGTTTTTTTTTTAGACATAAAAGTACTTTCTGTAGTTATTTCGTATAGCGGTTAGTGCCTTAAATAGCTGAATTATGTGAAGTTACTCTCATTGTTTTCAGTTGTCGTATTATAAGGTATTTTCCCACTCTTTTCCACATGCCTTCGTGCTGTAATTGAAAGCATACTCGACGCGTATTTGGTACGTCCAGGGTTCGAGTCCCGGCGAAGGCATTCCGCGTGCCTCCTGCTTCAAAATAACCAAATGAGTCAACTAAGCAAATTATATTTGAAATTTTTTAACAGAAAGGTCAGTGTTCCTTGTCTAGCAAAGTAATTTTATTTATCGTATGAGAAGAAAAGGAGTTGGGAAACATCAATGCGAATTATTGATTAGGGAGGATGTCAGAGCATGAAATGATATCAAGCCAAATGGCCTGCTAAATCTTCAAAAACGTTTCGACTCCTTTATTCAGTGCATTGTAAGGTCGCAGTGTACATTAGTGATATTACGTATTAAGGCGAAAATTATTAGTTCTAATGATGACGACTTGTTTTGAATGAAATCGCTTAGAAACTGAATTATATATGCTTGTTTAAATAGTTGTTCTCCCGCCCTCTCTTTTTTTAAAAAAATTGGATTTCTCAGGTTGACTTCATTATTACTTCTTGTTTAATGTATTGCAATAAACAATAATATTTTTATCTGTTTACATGTCAGGAAACAATAATATTTTATCTCTTAGCATGTCAGTCATGTTACGAATCATAGCCGTTTTTATTATTTCTGATATTCTTATCTGGACATTTTTAATGAATCAGTTGTTCGATAAATTCTTCATATTCGATTCTTATTCCTGTCATACACGGTAATTGTAAAATCTAATTAGAAATTTAAAACACTGATGCGATAAACATCATTCGTATTTTGTTGCATACGAGCTAGAATTCTGATTCCATCGAAGCATGCCTTATTTATCCGCTATTTTAAAAGCACAGTATATTTGGGGATTAGAAGAGAATTTTACTTATCTGGAATGTATTCTAGGAATTAAAAAAAAAAAAAAAAAAAAAAAAAAAATTTCCGGGGGGGGGCGGTAGGAGAAAATAAAAAGCTGAGTTAAAGATAACAAATGTAAGAAGGTTTCAGTTACGGAAATCTAATTTAATTTATATACAAATATTAAATTCAAATATTTACCAATATTAAGGTTTTCGAGATTTTAGTACATTTTTTACTGCATCATGCACTGCAAACATAATTTTTTAACTCTAACTGGATATTTGGAGGCTACATTAACTTCCTTACTTATGCTACGGGATTTGGTAGAATTTACATCTTAATGAACACAACTATAATATGTTACTTCGTGCAAAGTATGCGCGTAGGTGCAGAGGGATTTCATTTCATTTAGGGAACCCATTTTAAGAAAATAATAATAATAATAAGTGTGTGTGTTGTGTATGTATGAGTGGTATCCTATTTTATTTTTTTATTTTTTTTCTTCTCCCCTTCCTTTCCTACTGAAAGCGAAACAGTGTAGTTGTTCGGGCAGCCTTATGCATTTTAAGGAATGGAATCATATCAATTCTTGATGTCAAATAAAATAAATTATGTTTCTAAATACGATTCCGCATTTATTTGTTAAACTTAGCTACCGAAGATAATAATCAAACGCAGAATTGAAGAAATAACGATTTAAATGTAAGCAATATAAGAAAGGGACGGGTGCTGAAGTTAAACTTTAAGGCAGTGATAGTTTTTTAGTTTAATAGTGAATAGTCAGCCAGTTCTCTCAATATAATCTTGGCTGTGTTTCTCTATGTATTTG